TATTTTCTCATACTTAGATTAAAATTCTCTCTTGTAATTCATATATATAGAGATGTATCATTCATTATTTAATAAGACCAATTATTATCAAATTGTATAATGGTATCGGAGCTAAGGTTCTTGAAAACCTAGGCTCTTTTTTTCGACCGAGCACATCACCGGTCTCTATTCACGGTGGTCGATCATGCGACAATATGGCGTTACTGACCGATCTCGACGAGTATGCCTAAGAGCCTTTGTCCATTTTTTCTCTATTTCTCTTCATAAAAAATCATTATTTCTCTCTCTTTTAAAAAAAACATATATGTGACCGAATAACGGGAAAATTGTATTTTTCTAGAGATCAAGAACATGAAAATTGATAGGTAAGCAGAGAACAGCCTAATAGGAGAAAAAAACTCCTCACCTTCGCTCCAATCGCCAACATTCTCACATGCAGAAAAAACTCAGCAAACGTAATCTCAAGCTCGTTCATTATGCAACAAAGATCTGATTCTCTGTTTTTAGAGGCTATCCTCACAAAACTACTTCCGCCGACTCAATTATTCCAGTACCTGTGCTCGAAGCTGCTCCTCGTTAACGATGATCAGCTTGCGGGAGATATTAGGAATAATAGATATACTAGAAAATAGAATATTTTTATTTATTACCTTCTTTATTACATTACTTCCTTATTGTATTGTTACTGTAATTCTACTTCAACTTAGATTAGAATTTTCTCTTGTAAATCTTATATATAGAGATGTATTTTTCATTATTCAATAAGACCAATTATTATCAAATTGTATCAGTTAACATGAATTGAAGAACTATTCGTAAAATTTTAGAAATTGAAGGATTAGTCGTGTATGACGTAATAAAGAAGAATACCACTAACATATATAGAATGGTGAAACCCTACATATCAGCTTAAGCTTTTTGGTTAAAATAGTGTATCCCTATTTTATATACAAGTGGTTAATTTACCCGACACTCTACCCGTTTTTCTTGACCCGTCGGAATTTTAACAAATCCGAGTGTTTCTTTCTATTTTTCTTTTTTTTGACATTATGCATTGACATGTTTATTTGATGGGTGTAATCCACCCAGAACCGGTCAAAGGAAATATCCAAATATTCGACCGGTCAAGTTGATTATTCTTGAAAGGGAAACCTCAATCGTCAGTGAAAGGACGCTTGGTCGACCAGAAAGTTGACTGGTACACTTCGGGATAGTATACCGGTCAAACCACTTCATCATCTAATTTATCCCTCAAATCTCAGTTAATCCATCACTTAGGAACTACCCGGTACGATTTCTGAGGTTGGAGAGTGTCGGCAGAGAAGAATCCAAAGAGGTTTGGACCATAGCAACCAAGATTAGTGGAGAATCGCTGGAGATATTCGAACATTCCATCCAAGGCACTACCTGACAAGGGAGTGATCTTCCTCGCAAGATGGCAAGGCAGCTAAAGGACGAAGGCCATCACCTCCCACCATCCGAGAACGTGCCTCCACGAGCGTGCACGACATCCTGCCCCTTTCAAACTCAGTATATATGCTCTTGTAACCTTCAAAGGAAGGGGATCCGAATTCATTCTCTCTAAACTCCCTTGTAAAAGCTCTCGTGTACTCTCTTATATTTATAATATCAATTGGGCTACAGGTGTTTCCACCTACAGTCCTCCCGGTTACTTGTCGTGTTTTTACCTTTTTACTTTCCGAATCAAGTAAACAATCCTAGACCCGGTCTAGTATAGTTTACCCGGTCAGGTAATTTACACCATCATTATCAATATGCATTGTCACGATCTTTGGAATTTTGGGTTTGGTAGACATTGCATTGATGGTTTTTTTTCATGAAAGTTTTTGTGGCACTACGATGGCGATAATAGCGGTGTTGGGGACGTCGGTGGTAGACTGCAATGGCACTAGCGGTGATGGTGGAAGATCGTAGTGGTGTCGGTGGAAACACCGATAAATTTCTGTGACTCTAGCATCGACAATGGCAAATCATCGTGGACATTGGCGGCAGATGGCGGTGATAGCATCATCAGCCACAAATTGAAACTGGTAATTGAGATAATAGTTTTCTAGGGATTGTAATTTAATTTGTAAATGAAATTAATTTAATTTACAAATATATGTCCTATTTTGGTGATAAGAACATATCGATCTTATTTTGTACTTTTTCTTATATATTAATCATATTCCGGTCATTTTACCTTTCTTGTGCATTATTGTAAAATAGGTCTGTACAACCTCTATTTCGGTCATTGTTCAAATAGCTAGGATGACCCGTTGTTGTTTAAAAAGCTGGCTGTTTGAATAGTCAATAAAGTCAAAGTCAATCAAAGATGACAAAAATTACCTGAAAAGCTGTTTTCTAAATAAGGTCTTTGCCAACTAATAGGTTGGGTTAAAATCCAATTCCGCCTCAAAGCCATTAATTATTTTGGGGATATAGAGTGATTTAATCTTTGTTTATCTGAAAAAATGTGCAAAAAATAGTGTGAATTTTAGGTCCACCAAAAAACACTTGGCTATGAATTCAGTTTACGACCATGCCTAGGGGTACACCAAAGGTGTACGGTGTACCCCAAAGAAATACACTAACATTTTAACAGCTCATAGTGGCATAAAATTTTAGTTCAATTAAAAAAATTTGTACTGACATTTTTTGTCAATGTAAATCATCACACTAACATTACACTAGCATAATATGTCGGTGTAGGCCTATGAGGTACAAAATGAGGCACAAACTTTAGTACAAATAGCTTAAATCTTCATTTTATTCCGGTCATTTTTAACCCGATTTCAACTTTGAAATATTTTTCGTGTCTGTGCAATAAGATCTAGATTTGATTTTATCGGCTTTCTAAGGAAAAAAATATTTTTCAAATAGATATCAATGTACTTTAATATTGAATATTAAGCGACAAAATCTTACTTTATATTTTTTAGTGCTATTAACTCAACTACAATGTAGTATATATGTTTATACTTTTTTCATCTAATGATGTACAATGAGTTAGAGTCTATGTTTCTGATGAGACTCGAACATGGGTAAACTTTTTCATAAATCTCGTGGAGACGTGGAGTGAGCTTCCAACAATACACTCAAGTAGTCAAGTTTACCCTTTTTGTTCGCCCCAAAAATGAGTTTGCATTAGCCTCTTGTAGTTTTTTTATTATGGGAATAAAGATATATTAGTCACAATGTTTCTCTATCTTCTAAGCAAATTTCAATCATTTTTTTTAACTTTTCAATTCTTTTAAATTCCGTTATGTCAGTTATTAAACTTTATTTTGAGATAGAAAAATAGCATAGGTGGTATAATCATAATTTTCTTCTTGCTCCATTTCAATTTGTGATTGTAAATCTCGCAAAAAAAAAGAACATTTTAAAATTTAAAATATAAAAATCCTCAACTTTAAAAAGTTAAAAGAAAAAGACGCCATTTTTCGTTGTTAGCTCTATTAAAAAAGAGCTAACAGATCTGAGTCCTATGTTGCCTAATGGGAGTTTAAAAAAAATATTTCTATGGTACGGAGTACTATTTAGGACAATATTAGGTAACACTATTTTTTAAAAAAAAAATATTTAAAAATATTTTAATAATCCGTAGTACTTTTTTTATTTTTATTTTTTTATTTGGAAACAATACGGTGCAGTTGTTAGCAAATGTTGTACGACTTTAGGACTACTACCAAATACCGTACGGAGTAATATTGTCTGGTTTTTATTTTTGGTTTTGAAGAAAAAAATATTGAAACGACTACTCCCTTCATTTTTTTTAAACAGTTTCCTTGTTATTTTTTTCAATTTCTCCAAAACATATTTCAAAATGACTAATTTTTATTCAAATAAAATTGTTGGAAGAAATTTATTCAAGTTGCATTGATATAATTAGTTATTTAAATAATCTATCACTTTTTTCTTCGTTATTAAAAAATATAATTAAAAGATCAAACTGCGAAAACAAATCTGCTCCAAATATTTATGAAGAAAACAAAATCATGGTTGATTGGAATTTGGATCCAGAAGATGTTTTCTTCGAAGTATAACGTTTGTCTATTACTTGGAAATATTTTGTACACCAAAGTTTTACCTTCAAATTACGTACTTTTGCATTTGGGAAAAAGCTACAACACCTTCTACGCAATGATATGATATAACATTTTTAAAATTAATTTACATAATTAATTATTTTTTAAAATGTGAACGCTAAAGAAAACAATGATCTTAGACAGAATCTATATCACCCTTACCTTTCACACTTCATATTTAGATCAGAGACAAATCCGGTTTAGAATAGATTTTGGGTCTCTTCTCTTTCACATGATCTGATTGGTTCTAATCCGATTATAATGAGTTCTCATCTAAATGTAGTGACATTTAAATCTGTTTCTGATATGATCTACTTTCATATGATTTAAATAAGAGGTAAAAATATTAAGTTCAAGAGAACACACTCTTGTCTATTTCACAAACAAATTTTATTAGTAAAATTTTAAAATGAACCTTTTTACTAATACTCGCTATGTTACGAAAATTATCGTCTCACTTCGAAAAACATACTCCGTATAAACTTCATCTCTTTTAAAATTATTTATTTACAAATTATGTCGTGAGTGTGATTGTGAGTGTGTGTGTCTACACACACACACACACACATATATATATATAATTTTTATAAAATATCAACTTTTGTTTCAATTAGGAGAACTCGCGTCAATTTATCAACCGTCAAAACATTTAGTGCATGAGTCTCATTGATAATTATTTCCAACACGTTCACCTAAACGTCTACTAAATACCAAAAATTTCAATGATAACTCTCGTTATATTATGGTGTACACCAACACATCATTAATAATAATTACCCGCACGACTTGTGTGGTCACTCTGAACACCAGTATGTTGTATCGCTAAAATTGTCATCACAACATACACTTACAAATGTTGTAGATGAAGGATTTATTTCGAAATAACGTTAGAGATTAGCGTTAACGTTTTGGATAAAATTTCAACGGTGCAGATTAATTTGAAATTGATAATGTTAAACGTTGTCCGTAGATAGCCTTTTGAAAACGCTAACACGCAAATCTTTAATGCTACTCCCGAAAAGATCCAGATATTGTCTACACCTGTAAGTAGTGTCGGTGAAAATGTACCGTGGGCAATGTGTTACATCGTATACACCAAAATATTATATTGTTCAAGAAATAGAGGAGGACAAGACTCCTCCATAGGTAATTGATGAAAACCATTCTTCTCCATCTCACAAAAAAAAAACTCCATGCCCTCAAAATGCTCACAACCCCTTGAATTAATTCTTGTGTATCACATACCCTTTTTGCTCATTCTAATTAATTTATTTATTTATTAATTCACCATTTGTTTAATTAATCATCTCCTACCTCTTATTTTATCTTTTCTTTTGTGGTTATCATTAATAGTAATTTCATCCCATCACAATTGAACAATTATTAGGTCTCCATCAAAGTTTCATCAATCAATCAATCTCATCTTTAATTTTGAGCACTACGTACATTGCAGAAAATGGTATGTTCCCATTCATTTTTTCCTCTCTTCAATAGATTGGATTTATATATATTCACTGCGTATATATATATCATGCATGCACACCATTTGTTTTATTAATCTCTTTAATAGGTATTTTTAACTATTTGTCATGTAACTAATTAAGCATATACTCCCTATGTATATTCCTTGAATTGCTATACGTATATACCCAACGTAACAAAGTTTAGGCATGCATGCAATGCAATGAGGGAAGATCAAACCATGGGGTAGGTGGTGGGGCCCTTTATCCCAAATATCTTCATGTTTGGAAACCGGAATTTAGATTTCAAATTTGGATTTGACTCAAATTCCATATTTGGAAAATTCTAAAAAAACATTGGTTTTACATTTCTCTGATTCATAATATTCATTACTACCTTAATACTCCGTAACTTAATTTCAAATCATATGTCTCTTCTTATCATTTTAAATTCAAAAATTTAAATTTTGAAATTGAAATGCAATAATTGAAATGAAATGCTAGTTCTCAAATACTACCTTAATACTCCGTAACTCAATTCATTCGTCTTATATCTTTCTTCTTATTTAGTTATTTTCAATTTTGAGAACTTGGCATTTCAGATATCAAATATTGAACTTTGAATATTGAAATATATTGAATTCAATATATTTCGAATGAAACTTTGAATCTTGATATATATTGAATTCAATATATTTCAAAACCCAATTTAAATCTTTTGATATTAAATTTCTTCTCATTTTGAACTCATTTAAAATGCCAAGTTTGAAACACGCTCGTTGTGCTCAACTTGATTTAGATCACCCCTAAGAGGGGTAAGGGCAACGTAACCAAGAAACACCGCTCTGATCTTTCTTCGTGTGACATCATATATAGACTACAATAACAATCACCTGTTATATAGTACAATATATATCTATAATTTCATTGCAAGTTTTTTATGGTTGTTTGACTAGGCGAACTCTGCATCTGGCGTGGGTGTGGTGGATGAATGCAAGCTGAAGTTCTTGGAGTTGAAGGCCAAGAGGTGCTATAGGTACATTGTGTTCAAGATTGATGAGGCTAGACAAGTGGTGGTTGTCGAAAAGCTGGGAACCCAAGAAGAGACTCATGTCGATTTCACCAACAGTTTGCCCTCGAATGAGTGTCGATACGCAGTTTTTGACTACGACTTCACCACTGATGAGAATTGCCAAAGGAGCAGGATCTTCTTCATCTCATGGTACGTTATTATATAAATGTCTCACTTCGCCAAAAACCTTGTAGTCATGCGACATCAGTACTCACTGTGGCTCTCCCAAATGAGAGGTTACAAATCCAAACCCCAACTGGGACATTGACTCTTTATTATCTACAACTAGATTCATGCCCGTGCAATGCACGGATATAAAATTTGTCATGTTTATTGATTGCTTACGATCATATATAAATCTTAAGCAAGGTCTTTACAACATTAGAAATTTAAGGGTGTGTGAGCAAGTTCCTTAAAACCTTTTAATGTCAATATTAAAATAAATTTATATTGCAATATATACTACTCACGTTCTTGAGTATTTGCCCAGTTTTGACTTTCTCCAGTTAATCGTTTTCAATCTTTGACCTATAATTAAATAAAATATATATTGTATATTAATTTGATTAAATAATATTTTGAAAATATTTGATATAATAAATTTAATAAAAATATTGTTGTATCAATATCTAGTACTATTTTTATTTAATTTGAAATTTATGTTTACCCATTTTTATCGGAAGAAGTCATATTTTCTATAAAACTCACCTATTTTATAGTGTTTAAAGACATATTTTACCCTATCTTGGAAAATGATGTCCGAAAAGAATTTTAAAAACAATCCTTATTATTTACTCTGTATTAGTTTTAAAAAAATATAAATTTTATAATTAAAATTATAACTTTTTGAAATATAAAAAATCTCTTATTGATAAAGAGTTTATTCTTAAACACATGGCACACTAGACTAAATAAAAATAGGGTGTGAATTATTGTAGCTATTAAGTTATTTGGAGTATGTAGCTATATGAATTGTTCTTCAGGTTTTGGACTGGAGCTACTCAATATGGGCGGGAAACAACATATGCTATTTCATTTTCTTTTTATATAGAATAGGATTCTATATTATATGTTTACATGTACGACACATGTGTTATGCAGATGAAGACGTGAAGTGATTCCACATCGGTTAGAAATAAAAAATAAAAATCATCATATATAAGGCATCGGTACGTGTTAGCTTAGTTCGTCTAGGCCTAGAGACGGCTCGATCTCTTCTTACTAGTACTCTTGCCTTTGTGCAGGTCTCCAGAAACAGCAAGGGTGAGAAGCAAGATGGTATATGCAAGCTCCAAGGACAGATTCAGGAGGGAGTTAGATGGGGTTCAAGTGGAGTTGCAAGCAACTGATGCCAGTGAGATGAGCTTGGACATCTTCAAAAATAGAGCTCATTAATTAATAATAAAAATTATTATTATGCCACCCACACAATACATACATTGTTGTTACACCTTAATTACTTCTAGTGCTTCTATTACATATACTACTACTAATGCATATTACATAGGTTTCAATTTTCTACTTTATTTATTTACATAAAGAGTGATTGAGTGTCATCAATTGGCTACTTTGACAGACTCTTAGTGATTTTTCTTTTTCTGTTTTATACCACAAGCATCTACTTGTATTACTACTTACCAAAGATGGTTTCTTTATACTACATTTGTTCATTTTTTTAGTTTATACATATGCACCTTATTT